TCCACAACAAAAGCTCAAACACTCCAAGATTCCCTCTTCGTTTTGTAAAGATTACCAAAAACGCCCAAATCTTCCAACAACGGTTCCCAAATCCCCAGCTGTACTAATCCAAATTTCAAACTTAGCCCCTTAAAGTCGACAATGAGACTTTTCATATTCGATCTCGCCCCACGCCACATCATCCCCACTAATGTGTCATGCTTTGCGCAACGTATGTGAATACGTGTGTGAATTGACCCACTTTCCTTGCCACACAAGCTAATTTAATGGGTAAATGAGATGACGTTGAGCAGAGGGGGTTTTTTTTAGACGGAATGGGAGAATGGGTCGTTAAGTGATGAAATTTGAGTTCAAAGGGGTTGAGTGAGACCGAGCTCGAGTTTAAGGGGGTTAAACAGTAAATAAGCCAAAACACAAAGCTTAACAGCCACCCAAAGTCCTCACCCACCAGACCCAGACAACCCTGCTAGCTAAATCTCATTCCTCTCACCCTGCTCAAATCAGAAACTATGACCCCTTCATCTTCTGTCTTGGCCTCCTTCAATCCATCAAACCAGTTACAAATTCTCACCGATGAACCCCAAAATCAGCCATGGTTGGCTATCCAATTTTTTTAGATGATTCTAGTGATTTTTCTTCCCAATATTTTGAGTCATTAGATCAAAAAAATTAAATCGAGCCGTTCAAACATTTGATGTACCGATATGTCAAATATATATTAGAATTTTCGGCCCTAGAACAAGCACCTCCTTCTCGCCCTACGTGAAGATTGTTCGTTTCCTTGTTACTAAGGTACAAAAGTAGGCGTGGGCTTAGATAAACCGATTGAACCGACCAAACTAACTTGAACCAAACCGCAAAACTGATTTTTTTGACCCAAAAAAAAAAGTCAATATCAGAAACTCTTCTATGGTGCTTGATTGAAGGTTTTTGATTATTTGGCTTCAATGGAGGTATTTGATTCAATGCAATTGCATTTTTATTTTTCAGTTGTTTATAACCTCTGTTGCTGCTATTGTTTATAGTTCAATGGAATTGCATTTTTATTTGTTCTCTATTTTTAATATGTTTCTCTGCTTTCAATATGCTTTAATTCTATTTATGGAGGTACTATGATCTGTTTTAAGTTAATAAGTGTCTTTACTTTGTCAAAATGGATAGGAACCTGCTTCAAATGAGGCTCAAATTAATGCCTATCATTGATACTTCTGTACCTTGTAGTGATGTCGTTGCACCTCCTACAACAACATCAACAAATCCACCGACATTAATATAACCTAGTCAAAATGGGACTAGCAATGTGCGAAAGCATATAAACACACAATGCTTGCATTACCTTTATAGACACAAAGATAATAACATACGAAAGCTCACTTTTGATCCATCTAAGGGAAATGCTCTTGTTTCTAGTAATTTAAACAAGGATGAATGCCTAGATGCTTGTATTAGGATGATTGTTCGAGATGAGCTACCCTTTGGCTTTGTGGAGACTGAAAGGTTTAAGGAATTTTGTAGTTTTGCTTGCCCACAATTTCATCCACCTTCTCGTAGAACTCTTGGAAGAAGATTTCTAGAAATGTACATGAAAATAAAGGAGAAGTTGAAAGCTGATCTTTGTTCACATAGGATACCTTACAACCGATACTTGGACATCAGTTCAAAATGTGAATTACGTGGTGTTGACTGCCCACTTTGTTGATTCCAACTATAATATGCACGAACGAATCCTAAACTTTTGTGTAATTGATAGTCATAAGTGGGAGAGCATTGGAAAATTGCTTGAAAATTATTTAATTGATTGGGGACATAAGAATATCCTCATAATTACCGCAGATAATGCGGCTGCCAATACTAAGACAATTGACTATATGAGGAAGAAAATCAATGGGTGGAAAGATTCGAATAGTGTGTTAGGAGGAGTACACATGCATATGAGATGTAATGCTCATATAAGCAACTAGATAGTTAAAAAGGGCTTGAAGAGATTGGAAAGCTCCATTGTGACAATCTATAATGCGGTGAAATATGTGGGGTCCTCACCTTCTCGGTTGAGTTACTTTAAAATGTGTGTGGAGACAGACACAATAGAGTGCAAGGGGTTGGTGGTGATGGATGTTCCAACTAGGTAGAACTCAACTTATTTAATGCTTGATGCGGCATTGAAATTTCGAAAAGCTTTTGATAGGATGGGAGATGATCTCGATTATTTATACTTATGTACTTCAAGGAAGAGGAAGGAGAGGAAGAGAGAAATGAAGGCATTGAAGGAAGTGGAAACAAGAAGGGAAATTTTAAGATTAATAAGAGGGTAGGGCCATGTAGTGATCAAGATTGGGACAATGTCATGACATTTGTGATGTTTTTGAAGACCTTCTATGATGTTACCTAGAAAATTTCATCTTCTTTGCATCCAACATCACACACAACCTTTCATGACTTGATTGCCATAGATTGGGAGATTCAGGAGTTGTATAGATATGATGTTACAACTCCTATTGAAGCATTGACAGTCATGGAGACACTTTTAAATGATATGGCAGTATCAATGAAAAAGAAATATGATAAAAATTGGGGTGAACTTCATAAAATAAACCCATTCTTGATGATAGGAGTTGTGATTGACCCCTGGTTCAAGCTTCGGAATTTGAAGCACATCTTTGAGGAAATATTTGAACATGATACTATTTGTGAAAGATTGGTGGCTCAAAATACAAATGAGGTGAAACAAATTCTTTTGAATATGTATGAAGTGTATAAGCCTAGTAGTAACAATGTGGGTGCTAGTAGTACTATCAATAAGAGTGGTAGTACTAGTACTAACAATGAAACCAAATCTTCTTTGATCTTTGGAGGTCATAAATGGAAAAGCATGATGGAAAAGTGGAAAAAAATTCAACAAGAGAGTGAATGTGGTCCTAACACATGAAATGGATAGGTACTTATTGGATCCATTTGAAACAATTGATGGTGTGTTTAGTTGCAAGGGATGTACTTGTAATCCTTACACCCATAGTAGCTTCGAAGTCATGTTTTAGCACCGGTGGGAGAGTGATTGACTTGTTTCAAAGCTCATCGTCTCTTAAGATGGTTGAGGCTTTGATTTACTCTCAAAATTAGTTAAGGTCGGATGATATATCTTCATTACAATATGTGTCAAACATTGAGGAGATGGAGTTCTATGAATCTATTGAAACGGGTAATATTTTCATTTTTATAAGTATATTTGAATATGATTTTTCTTATTTTTCTTGTAGAAATGGTGGGGAGTAAAACGTCCAATGCAAGTTTGAATAAGACTTTCCCTCCCTAGTATGATGAGGATATGTTGGTAGGTTTTCTTCTTTACCTACTTGTATCTTGTTTTAATAATAATTTGCTAATAAATGTTTGGTTTTTTTTGTTTTGATGCAGGTTTGGATGGATGCAGCTAGTGTTTTGGAATGATTTTATGATCTTTATATTTTGTAAGGCTTGAATTTGTTGTGGGTTTGAATTTGATTTCTTGTTTTGTGTAATTTTTTTTAATGAGTTGTAAGATGTTCTATTTCCTTTCCTTGGTTGATGATTGTGATTTGTGAATTTGTCATTGTTGATTTAGTTGTTTAGAAACTTAAACTAGAAAAAATGATGGGTTTGCATGATTTGAACTTTTGAAAAACATAGAATTGATTTGGGCCTATTTTAGTAACTATAAATGATGCTAATTGTTCGACCAAAAACAAAATTGATGCTAAGTTTTTTTAAAAATGATTTGGGCTTTGAAAAATACTAATTTTGTCTTAAGCACAAAACCGACTAAACATACAGAACCGACTCGTGTATATTCGGATCAGGCCAACTACAGATTTCATTTTCTACCCAACTCGACCCGCGAACCTTGAACTTGGACTGTTCTTCTCACAGGTCAGCCCAAATATGACCTAACCTGATCTGTGCCTAGGACTATACAAAAGTTGTCAACCTTGATACAACTTTTTCCTAATTTTCCTCTCCATAAATGCAAATAGCCAGATGGAGAAACTTGTTGCTACTCAAGAATTCATTGATTTCATCAAATTCTACAGCAACCTGCTTTGCGTGATTCCATTCCATTCCAACTTCATGCGTGAAGTGGAAGAACAAATGAACCTTTGTGAGTTGCTTTTCCCTTCATGCCTTTTACGGTAGAAGAATAAATAGATGGATGCCCTTCCATAATTTTCTATTCGTTTTTTGTTTGCTGAAAATAGCCTAAGTAATTTATGTATTTGTTTCTTGTGATCATATATGCTCAATACTCAACTGAGGAAATTTTGTACTTTCTCATAAATTATGTATCCATTTTGTTTATTTGAGGCTTTATATATGATATAGTTAAGATTTGGTGTTAGAAATCAAAGGGGACCTATTTTCAGAAGTAATATGCATAATGAAAGGATTAATTTTTCTTAAAACGATAGAGACGCGCGCATTGTCTTCTTTCTTTTGAATGCTTAGTTTTTACATTAGCATATTGAAATATCCACTACAAGGAAAAACCCTTTTGGCGACCACCACGTTTGGTCGCTAAAAGCTGTCATTTCGTCGCCAAAACCCTTTAGCGACGAAATTATTTCGTCGCCAATTTGGTCGCCTAAGGCTCGTGGCTGAAAGTACCGAGAGACAAAAGGCGACGAAAATGTTTTCGTCGCCAAAACCTTTACGCGACCAATTTGTTTCGTCGCGTTTACAGTAAGAGTTGGTCGCCTAAAAAGATATGTTCCCGCGAAAATACCAAAATTTTCCGCGAACTGAGGAATGATTGGGCCACCAAATAGGTTGTTCATCGCTGATAGGTTTCGGTGACTACCTGATTTCGTCGCTAAAGCTTACTTAGTTGGTCACTAAAATTTGTATATTTTAAGTGTTTTTAATTATTTAATTTATATTCTGTTTTGTGATAATATTAACCTTTTTTTCATTAACATATTGTAATTTTGAAAAACAATAAATTTAGGTAAATAGATCAATAGAAAATGACATGAATAAAAGTTTCTTTCATTCAAAAGTACACGAGCATACTAGTTATTCAAGTACACATAACATATCCAAAAATAGTGAATATAAACGAGTGAAGAACTCTTCACTCAAAGACTAGAGGCCAAGCTCCATATATTCTTGCCCTTGGTAAACCCAAGTTTTGTAGTAATTATTTCCCCACTCTAAGACTGGGTTTCGACTAAAAAAGATGCATGTATTTGCCTTTTGTAATTCCAAGTTTTGTAGTTATGATCTTTAACACCTGTGGATAGGGACTGTGAGTCTGCGATTTAATATCGTGGAATTCCCAAACACTCTGCCAATTGTTGCTTGATCTTCTCAGACTCATCAATCCTCTTCCTTTACAAAAGAAACAAAACAATGAAATGCCAATGGTCAAGAAGATGCCAAAACCAAGAAAATTTAAATATAAAACTATATATAGACCAAAAACAAACAATTTTCGACAACATAATTACAAGAAATCTTGCCCAAAAGCTGAAATTCACAATCTTAACTAAATAAGCCATTAAAAAGAGTTTGGATCTACATAAGAAAAATGATCATTGGTCATCAATATTTAAGAATGTTTGAGAATGGTATTTGAACAAACTTAATAAAATTTGAATTCATTTTTCATACCTCTCAATATCAACTGTCTAAAGCATACCTTTGTGATAATAACAAATACCACAAATGAAGAAGGAAAACAATTCCGAAAAACCAATGTAAAGACTAATATCATGCATAGCACAAACCCATTATAAAACATAAATCATAAAATCCAAAATATACACCTTAACCAACACGGGTTGCAAAACTTCTCAACACATTACAAAACACATATGTCATTTTAATACCTTTAAACAAACAACACCACAATGACATTGACAACCACTACAGCTGTTAATAAGAAAACAAATGGAACTGAGTGTAATGAGAAGATATTACCACAAACCACAAACCAAATCCTTCCACCTCCTCAAATAATCTGACATGCAAAAACAAGATATTACCTCAGTAAAGTTAAGACCCTAAATGACATTTTTCTAAACACATTATAAGATAAAGAGAACCACAAACCCAAATAAGGCAATCGCTCATTGGTTTTTAATGTTTTCAATGCAAATAGAAACACTGAACGACAACTTTTTCAGTTTTCACTAGAATATAATGAAGAATTGAAATAAAACGAGATCTAAATGTAGAAAAAGAGGATTTAATTGAAATAAAATAACATGAAAAATTCTTTAAAAGTGCAAAATTCTTTAATTGAAGATATTTCTTTATCATATTTTCAAGACCAAGACACAGAGTCTACTTAAGCACATAGCCCAACATTCCTAATTTTCTAGGCACTTCAATTTGGTCTTCAAACGTTGACAAGAAAAAAGACAATTCAACAAAAGGGTATGAAGTAGTTTTCAGTAAATCATATATGACCAAATAAATACTTTGTTAAACAATTTGGCAAGGAACACTTCAACTTGGGAAATTCACTAAAAAACCAGTTTGAGTCGAAATAGTGCGAAACTTTCCAGATCAGAACTAGACACATAAAATTTCATCACATCAAAATTTCATGGCATTTGAAGTTAAGGAAGCATGTCAAAAACAAAATCCAAAACAGACTGAGCTGCAGAGTTTTCTGCTTCCTGCAACATAACAACTAGTTTAAAAATTTGCCAAAAATCCAATTTAACTCCAATCTGTATGAAACCAAGTTGGACATGCTCATTGAAATGTCTAATTATAAAAAATCCAGACCAAAATATAAATCTGAACTAGGCCTTCTGGTCCAGAACATAAAACAAGATCACAGATTTCTGCATAACCTCAGATTTCATCAACCAACCCAAATCTTTAAAAATACACCACTTATCAACTTTAAACATCAAAACACTAAACCATACAAATGTTTCTATTTACTATTGAAAGAGTATTAATATGAATTGACCAACTACAATTAAAAATACATAAAGGCAAAGCTTAAATTGAATAACCAACTATGAAATTTTTACAACAAAAACCATAATGGCAGCTTCAACAATTACGCAGCATCTCCTGCACTAAACAACAGAACTCTAAAACAAATACAAATTGTTTATTAAAAAAATGGACAATTTGATATATCATTGAAGAAACGTACAAGACTACAGTGCAATATTGAGTTACAAAGCACAACCAATTAAATAAAGGGAAAACAGAGGAAAACGCTACTACAAAATCAGAGAGAGAACGAGAGAGAGGTTGTCAAAATGTGATTCCATTCCACATTGATGTACCCAACCAATTCAGTGGAAAATTAAGGCCTTTTAGTATTTAAAATTTAAAATAAAAAAATAAAAAAGACTGAGTTTTCAGTATAAAAAACCATTGTCAAGATATACAAGCATTTTCAGTTTCTTAAAAGAATAAGGCCTTCATTTGATGCTAAAACCAGGTACACAGTTACCATAAAATCATGGGTTGTCAAAAACTTGCATGTATGTAGGATTTTCACCCTTCTACATTTTTCCAACCAAAAGAAATTTAGAAATACTTGAAATTATTACAATATAATAACTAAGAAAAAGAATAAAAGTGACATAAAATTATAAACATGTTTAGCAGCTTCCATGTGTTTCAGGAAAGGATGTGACCCCCTGTATGATCAAACTCTTTCTTTTTTATGTTCAAAGCAGTGTTTCTGTTTTGATTACATACAAGAATTGTTATATTCTTCCTATGTAATACTTAGAATAAGTTTCCAATCAAACATGAACTAATATCAATTAACCATAAACAAGTATTAGTTTTAATGTTTTCAATGCAAATAGAAACATTTAAGGACAACTTTTTCAGTTTCCACTAGAATACAATGAGGAAATGAAATAAAAAGAGATCTAAATGTACAAAAAGAGGATTGAATTGAAATAAAATGACATGAAAAATTCTTTAAAAGTGAAAACACGAGCTAAGAAAGGATGATCCTAGTGAAAAACTAGAAGCCTAGAAGATATTTCTTTATAATATTTTCAGGCCCAAGACTCAAAGTTCACTTAAGCACATACTAGGCACTTAGTCTTCTACCATTGCTAAGAAAAAAGACACTTCAACAAAATGTGGATGGCTTTCCTATAGTTGCAATAGCTCTGTGAAACCCTTGAACCCATTGAGACCTTACAAAAATAGCCACAGGAAATAGATAGAGGATTGAAAGTATAGTGATCCAACCGTACAACTTCAAGCCATCTACTTCTTTGAAGTTCTGTAAACTACATTTTGAGTAAATGTTCCTCAAGACAATAGGGAGGATTGAAAGCCAGACCCGTAAAGTGTACAAGTTGCCTAGGAATGACAAAAAGACAACTGAGAAAACAGGCTTTGAAGATTTGATTACATGGGTGAAAGAAATAACCACCTTAGAGAATGAGACACACGCTGAGATGTGGCCTATTATTATTGCTTAAGCTAACAGCCATCTTAAGTATCATCCTGCACATTTACAAAGCACAAAAACAGAGAGAGAAGGCTCAAAGCCTCAAACAGAGCAACATACTAATATATCATTCCCTAAAATAAAACAAAAAAGACAGGAAAAAAATTAAAGCATTCAACTTTTATGACACTGACTCTCATCACAAAGGTGCTTGAGATAGATGAATTATTTATCACAGAAAGTGTTTCAAATAGGCTATTGCAAAAAATAACAAAATTTGTTAGACACGATATTTTGGGAGAGCTTGAGAGCAAATTAGTCTGCAAACTCAAAATAGTCTATGACTTCTCCCTTTAAGTTTCTCTAATCATCAAAAAACAACAACATTATTTTTCCTAGTTAAATTCTCCCAAACAATAAAAGCATAAGCTCCTTTGACCAAAAAAAAAACACACAATAATAATAACTAAAATAAAGCATAATCTTACAGACAAAAGCAAAGAAACCTTGAAACGAATACACACCCACATAACCCACTTCCAACTTCCAATTCTTTTACTTCAATTGTGTGCAAATCCAATTAGGCTTGACTACAAACTCGTCTAATAAATTAAAGACACTTACACAAGGGCTCGTAACTGATTCTAAATAATTCAAAAGTCTACTATACTTGGGAGAATCACTCATGTACCAGTTTGTTACTTGTCAGTCCTTAATTGTTTAACCTTCTTTCATTCAACATTATCATTAAGGACCAATCCACATGGTATGAAGTAGTTTTCAATAAATCATAGATGACCAAATAAATATTTCCATTCCAAAACTCAAAAAGCACATCATACAGAGCAAATGGTCTTCATACCTAACATAAAGGCACCATATGAAAGAAGTCGTGAGAGGAGGACTTTGTCAATTCAATGGTTGAGGGGCTACAACAACCTTGTTATTAAGAACAAAAAAAAAAACAGATTTTATTTTGAAAGAATCAAAATCAATTAACTATAGAACAAGTGTTGAATAAACAAAAGAAGAAAATACCTTTGAATCACTGCGTGGTTGTGGCTGTAGGGGCTGTAGAGATTCTGAAAATTCTGGAGAACTGAAGGGTAGATGGTCTGGGGCAGAGGCAGTGGAAAATAACCCAGGCCATCAGAAATCTTGGGGGAAGAGAGTGGGTATGTCCATACGAGTGCTTGGCCGACGTCAGTGACTGATTGCTTTGTCGGCGTCAGAGCAGGTTAGGGTGTGCGAGATGAAGGGAGTGGGTATGTGAACTGAATGAAGGAAATAACAAGTGTGTTGGAATGGGTTTAATTTAATACAAATTTATAAATAAACCCAATTCTAGACATGTATTTATAAAAAAACCCAAGCACTATTTAAACATAGAAACACACCCAAAATCAACCTCAAAGTCAACTTTTTGGGTGTGTTTATAAATGAGTTTTGAGTGTGTGTAATAATGGATTTTGGGTATGTTTATAAAGTGTTTTGGGTGTTGGGTTTTTTTATAATTTCAACCTCCATTTTGGGTGTTTTAGTGAAACTCCCTTAATTTAATTCTTAGCTCACACTAATTTGCGACCAAAACCAGTGGTGGCCAAATAACCCAAAAATTTTAAGCACGAATTTTTGCTTTGCGACGACTCTGGCAAACAAAGCGACAAAAAAATTTTGTCACCTTGAATTTTTTTAATTTCGCGTGCACTCTATTCAATGAATGGTGACCAAAATTATTTTTCGTTGCAACTTGCAACCATAGCCACGAAAACATTCGTCGCCCTTCAGAAGAATTTGGTAGCAATTCATTTTGATCATGTCTTGGACGATGCCTTAATGTCACGAAACCTTTCGCGACCAACTGCAAAACGTTTGTCGCTAATTTCCTTTTTGACCGACCAAAATTGGGTTGGTCGCTGAAAATTTCGTCACTGAAGAGGTTTTTTCTTATAGTGATCATATTGTTTATGTGATGATTTCATTTTTATGAGACTCTTCGTGTCATAGATTTATTAAAATTGTATGCTTAATTCGTCCTTTTAGTGGTATGCTTATGAACATATTGTTTTTCTTTTGAAGATTCTTAGAGGTTGTGAAGGCAAAAATTTCCATAAGCAATACCTTATATTTGTCGATTAGGGTTCAACATAGCTGGGGATTTTGGCATTTTGGCAGAGGAAAATGGTTCAACGACAAGAGATCATACCTTATATTTGCCAGTATGGGAATCCACATCGAGTGGAGATATCGTGGACTGAAGTTAACCCAGGAAGGAGGTTTCAATTCTGTTGAAGGGTAAGGAATTGACATATTTGTTGGTTTTTGTTGGTTTTTCAGTTTGAATGTGTGTTTTTCCGATGTTGATATATGGGCTGATTGATATAGAGAGGAGCAATGGATGTGGGCATTTTGGTTGTTAGTTGGTTTCTGGTTTTTGTTTGGTTTTGTGGTAGATCTCATGTGTTTCAGTGAAAGGAATGGAAATGAAATATTGGAAGCACATGTGTTTTGTGGTATATCTCATTTTGTAATGTTACTTGTTAAAGAAATGGAAATAAAACATTGGAAGCACTTTGGTAAATTACAACCTTGCATAGTAGTTTGGTCATTTTTCCCTAAGCAACTTAATACATAACAAGCACTAAACTTAACATATAACAAGCAGTGAAAGGAAATTACAACCTTGCATTAATAAATCTCCAAATTACAAGCAGTTTGGCAAATTTTCCTTAAGCAACTTACATTCCAAGCACAAACCTTATGCAATAGTCCCCAAAATTTACATTCCAAACTAGTTACCAACTATTTGTAACCAAATAACAACTGTTTGCAACAAAATACCATTCCGACTAGTTACATTCCAAATAAGTTTTCATCCAAACTAGCTACAAAATACCATCCAAGCACAAAATACCACCCAAACACAAAATACCAATGATTATGTGCCTATTTATGTCTGTTTGTTGGATACTTGAATCTCCTTTTAACAGGTGGAGATGGTTGTGATTGAAAAACTTGTGAAGTAGGCTATGAGTGCACTTCACTTGGTCCAGCTTGTGAATGCACTTCACTTGGAATAGGCTTTTAGTGCACTTGACTTGGAACAGGTTATAAGTGCATTTGACTTGGTCCAGCTTCTGACTGCGCTCGATTTGGTCCATCTCTAGGTCTTAGTTTCCTCACTTTTTCAAAATGACATGCAGTGCAATATGGGAATACATACATTCTTAGAACTAAAAACATATAAGATTTTGGAAAAGTCAAATCAAGTTTAGGTGGTCTTTGCTTCTTTTTGGTTTTTTCAGTTAAGGTAGTTCATAGAGCCTCCTATAATATGAAGAAAAAGTACATTAAGTACAACACAAATATATATAGATCAAACTCACACAAAAAAAAAAAAGCTACTTTGCATTTCAATATGTTATGACCTTCTGCACCACAGTTACTACAATGAAGGGTTGTGTGGTATCTAGGAAGCTTGTGAGGATTGTGGGTTTTCTTTGGTTCATCAACTACTTTCTTCCTACTCTTTCTTGGCCTTCCTGTCTGCTTATGATACAAAGGCACCAGTCAACCCAACTAATTGTTCCACCCATGTAACACCAACCAGTCTTTACTTCCACCAACTTACCCCCATAACAAACCATCCACATGAACAAAGTTTCATAATTTACAACAATCAATATTCAAATAAAAGAACCACATTTACCACACTAATGGAATAAAAAAGGATAGCAAGGGACCACAAAGTCTTTTTATCTTAGCAACATAACAAACACAAGACTAAAAAACTAAACCAATATTCATTTTTATGTTGTTTCTGCTCTTTGAGTTGCCGTTTCACTGATTGTGTTATTTGTTGGTCTCTCTCTCACAAACAGTTATTAGCAGTTCTAATGGTTGTTTTGATTTTCAAGATTCAAGGAAGCAGTTAGAGCAGTTTGTGAAATTCATGTTACCCCATTAGTCCAACAGTTGGTTTAATTTTTCAAATTTAAGAGATAAGTTAAATTTTTTAGCAGTTATTATGTTTTTTTGTTGTTGTTGTGTTCTTCCTATGTTATATTATATGATTGGCCTTTTTTTTTTTAGTTTGTTTGCCTGAGTGGCTTTTGAAGTTTGTTTGCTAGAGTGGCTTTTGAAGTTTTTTTGTGTTAATTCAGTGTTGGGCTAGCTTAGCCCACATGACTATGTTTTTACTTATTTTTTAAGTTTTGGCTTGGCATGTCTTTACTTCTTTGATTTTCCTTATTTTGTTTTGTGTAGGGCAATGTATAAAATATCGAGGGTTTTGGAAATATCGATGGTCCAAAAACACGGATCTATCAATGGAAATATTGAAAAAATATCCATATTGGTAAAAATTGAATGAAAACTAGTGTTGGCATTTTGGACCTATATACCGCAAAATCGCAGTTACCGACCGACTATTCATCGCAACCAAACCGTCATCGCCATAAAACTGACCGCAATTTGTGATTTTTTGAACCGACCACATTGTGTGGTATACTGCGATACCGCAAATAATTCAATTAATAATTTAATTAAATATTTTATATTCACTAACAACCATTAGATGAATCTAACGGCTAGGATTCCTTAGTTTCAATCAATCCTAGTAGTCAAATCAATCATTCACGCATTTTATCTCTCTCTCTTTCTCTCTCTCACAACCAATGTTGCCGCCTATCTCTCAAGCAACGTCACCGCCTCTCTCAGTCACTCATCATCATCGCCGCTCTCAATCTCTTAGTCCACCTCGCTGCCTTGTCTCAGTCACTCTCCATGTCGTCTCTTTCTTCCGGCGAGACACTCATCAACCTCACCGCCTCCCTCAGTACCTCATCATCGTCTCTGTATCCTTATTTCCTCATTTTTAGGTAAATTTTTTACCCAATTTCTGAAATTGAACTTTCAAACTTTGAACTTCGAATTGGGGTTTAATTTAGCAATTATGTTTTGTTCATTATGTTTATAAATAATTTGTTAACTATGTTTAGGATATGTTTTAGGGTTAATTAAATTGTGAATTGATTGGTGATGAGGGTTTAGGGTTAATGTGAAATGATTGGATATGTTTTAAAATGTGAATTGAACAGATTCAGTTTTTAAAGTATAATTTGATTATGTTGGTCTATTTTTTAGTTTAATTTGACGAAGTTTAGGCCGTTTAGGGTTAATTAAATAGTTCAACTAAATTGATTTTGTTTTGGACCTTTAATTTGATTGTGTTTACATTGTTTAGGCTGATTTGGAGGGTTTCAATGAGGGCTTCGAATTGGGAATGGAATTGGGAATTGTGAATTATGATTTTCAATTGATTTGGTTTCTGTTTTTTAGTTTAATTTTTAGTTTTGTGTTTTAATATATTAATATGCTTCTATGTTGTTCTTCCTACTGTGTTGTGTTTAATAGATGAAGTCCAGCCACTCTAACGCACCTAATGCCTCTAATCCCCAAACACAAACTGAAACACCCGAAACACAATCTCCAACTCAAACACAACATCCCACACACAAGGGGATTATTGTGGGAGATAAGAGGAATGCCCTAAATTCAAAGGTGCGGTTACATTGCCCAAAACAAATAAAGAATGATGGTAATAGGGTAGAGAAGATTATAGGGGTTTGCAATTATTGCAAATTGGAGATGTCAAGGGACCCTAAAAAAATGGGACAACGGATTTAAAAACTCACATAGAGAGGAGATGCAAGCTCTCTCCTCTCAATCAACAATGTGATGCAAATCAACCTACCTTGACTTCGAATACAATGGGTAGTAGATTGGTCCACCACACATTTAATCAAAAAAGAAGTTAAAGATTGAGAGGTTCATTCATTAAGGATGAGCATCATTTTAGAGTCGTTGAGGGCTCGGGTTTTAAGGAAATGATGCATGAGGTGCAACCTCGGTTGAAGATTCCAAGTAGGAAGAAAGTTGCCAAGGGGGTGCAAGAGTTATACATACTTGAAAAGGCAAAGATAATGAGTGTGATTAGTGAGCAAAGAGTTAGTATTACAACCGATACTTGGACATCAATCCAAAACATACATGGTTGTGACATTTCACTTTATGGATAGTGATTGGAACTTGCACAAAAGAATAATTAGTTTCACAAATATCACTAGCCACAAGAGCATTGACATAGGGAAAACCCTAGATGAATGTTTGACGGATTGGGGCATACACAAGGTGTTCACAATTACCGTTGATAATGCTTCTACCAATGATGGAGCTGTTGAGTACATGGCACAAAGCCTAAATGCAATTAATACCTTAAGGT